CCTCGCGCTCTCTCTCTCTTCTCTCTTCTCTCTCTCTCTCCCTTTTCTCTCGTTTCCCTCTCTCTCCCCCTCTTGCCCGCTTTGAAATGAATTAAACTAGAATTACAGCGAACGGATATCGTGACGGAAACTTGGTTGCGAGTTTCACGGCAAAGTCGGAATTGATCAAGCGTGTCCAAGCAAGCGCAAGCGGCTATAATGTACGCGTCGGGCGGGATTTGTATTTGATTGTGTATAATCTATCGATTCTCTCTTTTGACGTACTCTAAAAGATTCATGAATGTAAAGCTATAACAGTTAGTCTCGCGCGCGAGCCGCTACCGTGAATGGATGATTACTTCCGAACGACTGGCGTGGCGAAATCACACTCCGACAAGTCGAAATGTTTCGTTTCCGTTCACGTTACGGTCGGCGGAACACCGTTGAACGATAAAAGGACCTCTCTCGTCCGTGGAAACGACCGCATATCTGTTTATAATTTATCGTATAATTTATTCCTGTATCGTCGCCGGGCGCGGATTTCAGGATCCAGGATCCGTTCGCACTGGACCGAGTGAATTTTCAGAAAGGTCCACTTTACGGTCGCGTCGAGAATCCCACCGTTCGGCACACCTAAGGGACGCTGAAAAGCACTGGGTCGTCGGGAAACACTCGCCGAGAGAAAATAAGTTTCCGTGCGCGGAAACCCCGCGCGCCGTATGAAACTTACGTCCCTCCGACTTACCCTCCGAATTCAACGGTAACTATCGCACGATCCGATTCCAAATCCGAGAACGAATTGAGTTCACCCGAGGATACGGGCGGCCGCCCGTAATCGCGTTATTTAGGGTTTCTTCACGGGGGCCGAGGCGAGTTGAGCGGGAGACGCGACGCGACTAGCCAGGGTAGTCCCGAGAAAGTAAACCACCCCGAGGAAAAGTAGGGTGGCTCGTCCGGCGGCGTGCTCGTTACGCCGTACCCGCCCAATGCGAGAGGGACTCGATCTACTCGACTCTCGACGACACCGTGGGATTCGCGATGCCGGATAATCGGCGCGACGGCGACGGGATG